TTTATTTATTTATTTATTTATTTAAGGGAGAAAGAGAGAGAGCGTATGTGCACTTGAGGAGGGGGACGGCAAAAGGGAGAGGGAGAGAGAATCTCAAGCAGACTCCCCTCTGAGCTCAGAGGCCGACTGGGGGCTCGATCTCATGACCCTGAGATCATGACCTGAGCTGAAAGCAAGAGTTGGATACTTAACCGACTAAGTCACCCAGGCTTCCCCAAACAAAACCATTCCTAAAAAAAAAAAAGTGACAGGAAACATACACATTGCTTGACCGTTTCAGGTGGCAACTGGAAGCATCATGATAATTGTCTCACTACAGGCTCAGGAAGTGTCTAGGAGAGCGGACCAAAACCAGAACATGGCCTGGCACACAGGCTCTCAAAAATATTCGCTGAATGAATAAATGAATGAATTAGGGCTTCTAATACAAAAACTCACGCAGAAAAAGAGCGATTATGGAATAAACAATCACAGAACAGCAGAAATCCAGAACAACTATACCCATTCAACTATGTAAGTAGGATATGCAGTAAATCATACTTCTTCTGGAAGAAGGAAAGTATGCTAACCCAAAACTCCAAACTCCAAACTATTTCCAAGTTTCAGTTACTGGTATTAACAATAAGTCTCAGAAACCTGCTCAGAAAAGTTATTTGGTCCTTTATCCATTTATTTGTTTGTTTTCCGTTTGTTCCACCTGATTAGGAGCCTGCTTTTACCATGGGACAGAGCTATGCGCTGTGGATATAAGTAGGTTGTAGTCCATCTCACTGGACATTTGAACACGCTTTCTGTCTCCTTTTCTTTTAGGGACCTCCTCACATGCCTCTTCCCCATTGGCATTGGGAGTTCTAGGACACGTTCGAAAGCATAGAATCTTTGAAAGATACAGTTTTAAAGGAAGTGGTACTGAAATTGTTTTTTAAAGCAGATTTCAGGGAAATCCCCCAAGTGTCTTTAAAAAAAAACCCCAGAGTGGTGAGGACTTGGTTTAAACCCCTTCCACTGCCATCAGGCTTTGCCTCAGGCTATTTTTGAATTTTAGGAACTGGCAATTTGTGAGAATTGAAAAATAGGAACTAGAAGAGGGTTTGTATGACATACAGCTCCACAGACTGTATAATTATTTGGAACTCTGTAGAGAAAATTCCATTCGGGATGAAGGTTAGGTGGCCTCCCATTCCGTCTGGTTCCATGGGCCTCACCCACGATTGCTGTTTCGATCCCACCTTCCTCCAACTCAGCCCCGTCCAGCCAGGTTGGGTTTGAGGTGGAGAAAGGATGGAGAGAAGACGGTAAAGGAGAGAAGAATCTAAATGTGTGTGTGGGTGTTGGTGGTGAGGGTGAGTGTGGGATGTGAAGGAGAGTTTCTCAAACAGCCCTGACCAGTAGAAACCTCTACAATGGTGGAAATGCTCTCTATCTGTAGTTTCCAACAGAGAAGCTACTGGCCGCTTGTGGCTACTGAGCACGTGAGTTGTGTGACAGAGGAAGGACGTTTTAAATTTTACTTAATATGAATTTAAATTTAAATAGCACATGTGGCTAGTGATGAACATATTGGAAAGCACAGTTCTAAAGAATACTGTATTTACCCCAAATTGAGGAAAAGGCAGAACGAAATCAATAGAAAGAGATCAACAGCTGCTGCTTCTTACTTGTTCAAACCCCACACTATAGGCCCTGATTGCAAAACATGAAAAGTGGGGCACAAATCATGGGTTTGTACAACTTTAGAGATAGAAACAACAAACCAAAAGTAAAACTATGATGTAAAAGAAGGCGAATGGATAGAAGGGATGGCGAATTGAAAATTAGTCCCGTGCACTCACTGTGCGTGCTCAAGGCTTTCCTCAAGGCTCAAACGTTCTCCTTACCAGTTCTGAACCCGAGGAGCCGGGCAGGCCAGTAACTGTGCTCTTGCTGCCTCAGGGCTACATCGCTTCCCGGGTGCTCTCCCGAAGAGCCTGCTACATCCTGAAGATGGACCATAAGGCCATCCCCGCTCTGGACGAACTAAAACGATACATCTACGAGAAACAGGTGATTCTGCAGTACCCTTTCCCATTCCCTGTTCCTTTGCCCGGAAAAACTGGTGCCTACAGAGGAAAGAAGAGGGTAAGGGGGAAGATCATAATATTCTATCTTACCGTGGATATGTACTCTCTACCTGTTAAAGTGTTTTCTCCTTTATTGTTTTTGGGACAGGAGTACATGGCTTCGCTTGATTTCTACCGTTCAGCCCCCAACCCAAGAACTTACAATAAATTCCACTGTTTTTCTGGAAAGGACTGAGCAGCAGAGCTCTCAGAAATAGTGACTGGCAGAAAAACGAGCGAAGTTATAATAGTCCACAACACAAAGGTGCAAAGAAACAATACGGGATAGCGAGAATAAACAAACCCTGCACGAGGTTCGGAACTGGGTGTTTCATTCTCCCCCTGTAACTTCCCATCTGTGCCACCTCTGCCAAGGGATTCACCCTCCCTGGGTTTCACTGTCACCAGCAGTGAAATAACATTGGTAATAACAAGGCTCCGCTGCAGACCAAGTGCTCAGAAGGAGATGGTGTCTTGAGATTCCTGACGGCCTTCTGCTTAATAATATGAAAAAGAAAAAGCAGTTTAGGATAAGGGACATCAGGTTATGTCAGTCTACTTTATCCTATCCCCCTCTCTTCTACTGCTCTAGGCTATGAAGAACATGTACTCTGACAAATACCTCTGGGTCAAGTACAACCCACTGCAGTCTCTGATCATGCACATAGACTGGTTCCTGTTCGGCTCACCCATCAGGCAGCTCTGCAGTCATGTTCCCCTGTACAAGGGGGAAGTGGTTGACAAGATATGTGAGTACCAGGAAATTATTCCTTCACCAAATGTTTTCTGAATGCTCCCCTGTGTGGGGCACTCTGCTCGGGGTTGTGCAAAATACAGGTAGACATGAAACATGACTCATTTCAGTTGACTTCGGGAACTAAATATCTACCGTGGGTGGAAATCATGCTAAACGTGAGGGAGATACAGAAATGGGTAAAACTCTGCTGCTGAGTCTGATGGAGAAGTTGATGGGTTAACACAGAGGATGAAATTTTAGGATGTCCTGGGTGCCAAGGAAAAACTGTTGGATTTCCTACTGTTCCTTGTGCTGACGGGTGCTAATAATACAGTATTGTATACTTGAAAGTTGCTGAGAGGAGATCCTAAGCATTCTTACCATGCACACACACAAAAGAATTACCCATGTTAACTGTGTGATGTTATGGATGTGTTCTCTTGATCTTGGTAATTGTTCTACGTGTATGTATATCAAATCATCACAGTGTACACTTGAAATATATGCAAATCCTTTGTCAATTATTCTTCCAGAAAGTTTTAAAAACTATTTTCAGAATCTAGGATAGAATGAGTCTAAGGAAGAGCAAGCAAAGTGCACTGATCCACAGGGAGTAAAGTCCTGAGTCATCCAGCTAGCATATATCACTGCAGTCATTACTGGTATTTTTATACAAAGTTTCCAAACATGGGAGAGTGGCCAGAGGGAAAGAGGGGCCAGGCCACAGATGGCGAATGCAACAAGATAAATTCCCCAGAGTAGTGGAAGGTGAGATACAAAAGAAAATAATGAGCATTTATCACACTTTTACTGTCTAGAAAAAAAATTTTAAGATATTTTTCTTTTAGTAGGGTCATTAGTACTTACGAATAAAAGCACATTATGCAGCCATCAAAAAACCCAAAATCTTGCCGTTTGCAACGACGTGGATGGAACTAGAGGGTATTATGCTAAGTGAAATAAGTCAATCAGAGAAAGACATGTATCATATGATCTCACTGACATGAG